ATTCTATTGGGTACATATAGCATTGTATTAAATTTGACTCTATTCTATACGATGTTGATTTCAGTATGCGCTACGCCACAATTCAAACCGCGTAAAGCAGTGCCTGATCTAATATAATTCTAGGTACGCAACAGATTTTGAGAATCTATACAGCATGAAGCAACGAAGCCTTTCTCTACAAACTCACAACGTGTGGTGCAGACATAATGAGGCAATTTTGTAATAATTTTTTTTGTTATCTTATGTTAACGATGGAAAATTTAGAAAAACCTCATTCGATAGATAATTTAAGAGAGGGTCCGTCAGAATACCGACCATGTGGACTGTGGGAAAATTTTAGATTTCATTCGAAAGCTTATACAAAGTTATTATGAAAACCCAAATATCAGTCCATTCTAGCTTAGCAATAAAAAATGGAAATTTTGGTTTATGCTCTAAAAATCGACTTTATCGATTCTTGTCATATTTTACAATTTTCTTCTGCCTCCCTCAGAGTTCTGTCGAGAAAAGCATCTCATCAGAACATTGTTTTTATGGTTTTATTCTGTGGTATTTTATGTTCTAATAGCATTTTACAAGCTCAGAACTTGATTTCTCGTGCCTATATGTCTTTTTGATTAAATTCATTTTTTCGACTGAACCCTGAGAAGAAGATCCGGGTAAAATTTTCTGTAAAAAAAGAAAAGAAAGCTAATGAAAATCTTTGAAACATACATAAGTTGGCTTAGTTTTCAATGCTGATTTCGAATATCTTATTAGTTTTAACTCAAATAGGAAGTTTTTCAATCAAATTTTGCAAAATATCAGATCAAAATTGCATATAGAATATGAAATCAAAGCATGATCGATTTTTTTGTGAAGAAAAGTTTTATAACATCCTAGTAAAATTTTTCAAAAAGAAATATACTAAAATATGCATCATGATTAGAGCTACAACATAGAAAAAATTCAAGTTGAAGTCTCTTACTTTGACTATTGTTTTGTCTATGATACTAAAAATTGATGACCGAACCTATATACTTATTTCTCTGTCTTAGGACTCCTTTCTCATACATAAAGATATTTTAAAAGTAATAGAATGTATGTGTTTTTTAGAGCAAAAAAGTTCTCTATCATTTGAGATGTTTCGCTCCTCGAACTATCAAATGATGGAGGAGAAAATTGCAAAATACGATCAGAATTGAAAAAATCGATGTTTAGAGTATGAATCAAAAATTTGAAAAATTCAGGATCTTTCCATTTTTTATGGCTAAACCAGAATGGACTGGTATTTGGATTTTCATAATAACTTTTTATAGGCTTTCGAATGAAATAGACAGATTGAAAATCTAAAATTTTTCCACGGTCATCCTCTGTTGATTGTGGACCTTCTCTTAATTCTGTACAAAGTTTGCTATTTGAAATTTGTAGGGCTCAACTATCTTTAGAATAGTATTCAAAAAACGCACATATGTGAATTTCAAAATTGCACCATGTCCTGTTTGTACACATTATAAGTGATTATTTCGAGATCTTTCTTAATATCTATATATGCTCATGATTCGTGATTGATCCGAGTGTTTTTTTGAAAAACAAAACACGATTTTTTTTGCTTTAACTTAAATGAAAAAAATGCAGAATTTAATTCTGGATAGATCGGTAGAATTATAACTTTCAATTCATTTGGATTTTTATTGGTCTAAAATCAAAAAAAAGTGAAGAATATCAATCATGGATACATAAATATTGATTTTTCAAATCTATCACTATTGTCTTATATTCGAAAAATTTTCGACAAAGTTCCGAAAAATGCACGACTAAATATAGAATTTTCTGATGATGTTACAATTTATAGAGCATCAACAATTGACATGAAAAGAAAGTTTTTTTTTTTGAATTTTAAGCAGGTACAATTTGGAAGTTCATATATATAGGGTGTCCGGAAAGTCCTTAGAGTTACAAAAATTTGGATATCTCCATTATGGTTGGACTAAACGAGCTCATTTTTCTAACAAAGATTGAGGCATGTTCACACTCCAAATTCATATGGACAAGGGTATTGAGAATCTTTGTTAAGTATCACTATTGACCTCAACAAGAAAATTTTACTGTTTCACAGTTAGGAAAACAAACATTACACAGGATAGGGCAAAAGACACTTTATTGAAAAGACAATTGACTCTCTTCATTATAGCTTGAGCGAACCAACTGATATTTTTAACCAGGATAGAGGCATATCCACACTCCAAATCCATGCTGACAAAGTTAGTGTGAACCTTTGTTAAGTATATGGTTTTTCTTCCTCTCTGTGGAACAGTAAAATTTTCTTGTTGAGGTCAATAGTGATACTTAACAAAGATTCTCAATACTCTTGTCCATATGGATTTGGAGTGTGAACGTGCCTCAATCTTTGTTAAAAAAATGAGCTCGTTTGGTCGAGCTGTAAAGGAGATATGAAAATTTTCCTAACTCTAAGGACTTTTCGGACACCCTATATACGAATATTCTAAATACTATCTCGAAAATAACTGCGCTGCCAATTTTGATATCGTCTTCTGTAGCAAAACATCACTGTAAAACTTAACATCATCTCTACAAATATAGACTAATCATGCAGTAATTGAAATAATCATTGTTTCATAATGTGTTTTGCTAGTTGCTTCTTCATTGAAGATTCAAATTGAGATTAAACTATGATCATTTTCTTTAAGATTTTTATTCGATAATCAATTTGGTAAAAGATCCACATCCACAGCTATAGCTATGCCCACACTGACACCGACACTCACATAATATGTCTTAGTATAAATGAGGTTTTACTTAGGACGAGGAACATAAATGTTGAGAAGATATAAAAAAATGTTGAAATTTTTCTAGTTGGACATTATTGCAGAAGCTACTGTCTGATTATGAGAACTTTCTCTCTAATATGAAAAATGAAATGGTAATAGAAATTCTGAAAACATTACGGAAATGAGAAGCGGGAACTGAGAAGAATCATTTTCTGTAGGACACGAGTGCTTGGTCATCGATTCAATCGATTAGAAATAGATCAATACATCATTTATTTTTAATAGATAACTCAGTTCGACATCAAAATCAAGGTTGTGATTAGTCGAAAAGGTTCGCTCTCGATACATACCTAATCTTATTGTGTCTACATTTGAATTCTGAATGCCACACAAAATTTTTTTTTCTTGAAATTCATCAGAGATGAATGTATAAAATAATAAAGTTTGATTTTTACAAATCAATATTGCTGAAATTTCAACATTTATCAGTAATAAATATTGAATGATGTTCATATTTGAATTTTTTTATTTATAATTATATTTATATTTGACATATGACTTGACTTAAATTTAGATTTATATTAATAACAATTATTAAAAAAGAAAAAAAAATCTATTCATGGAAAGTTGTCAGTATTACTTTTGATAAATGATTAAATTTTCACTGTTTAGATGTAAATCTTGTTGTAATAATTAAATTTATTTTATTTGATAAGAATAATTCTATCGAGAGAATAATTAAAATTTTGATGAATTTGATATATGTGTAAAATCATTTGTTAACAATGTGGTTTCGCAAAATAAAAATACACATATTTCAGGATAATGAATTTTTATATATATGTCATGTATGTTAAGTTACTCTAAATTTCTTGAAAAAAATCAATGCTAAATACCTTACAAAAATTTTTGTTTCACGACTTGATAGAATCTGTAAAAAAAAACACAGTGCTTAGAAGAAGTATTTTTGGAATTCAATTTTGCTGAAAATTTCATCATAGATTGTGATTCATGGCGTAGAGTCTATTCTGAAGTTTTTAGATTTTTCTCTATTATGGTTAGAAAGATATTCGCTAATTACTTTTTCTTTTTTTTGAATAGTCAGTTGCAAGAACCAACACTTTTACATATGCCTTGGTCAAAATAAACTTATTTAGAAAAACAATCCTTGTAAATAATCAAAGACAAATAAAAGGTGAATATGATCTGTTTTGGCCTAAAATAGCTTATATAAATCATTTTTTGTCTTCTGACATTATTTATATAAAAAAATCCCTCGATAGTTCCAATTTTTCTTTTATTTGAATAATGATTTTTGTATTTCACATAAATAAACTCTACTCTGTATAAGCTTTCTATGTCAATCAATTTTCATCATGTATATATCGTTTAACAGACCAAAATTGTAAATGACAGGTGGAGTAAAAAATTCTGTATTAATTTTGTTTTTGATATAGCTTTACAATACAATATTGTAAAAAAAAACTTGATTATTGTTGTTTTTTTGTTATATATGAAAATAATAATTCTTTTTTGTTTTTTTAAAAAAAAAGAAAAAGAAAAATATCATTAAGATCTACCTGTACCATACGAGACGAAAGCACAAGCGTTTTTTTTTTATGACATATTATTCACAGAGACATTTAATACACTAAAATTATTTTATTTTATCAGATTCAACAAATACTCAACCTTTGATATCTCTGCATACCTTTTATGAAAAAAAAAAATAAATGTCTTTCATAAGAATAATCATCAAGAAATTATATATATATATATATTTGTCTTGTTTTGCATATTCACGAGGCAACAAAATTGTTCATTCATTCATATGAATTGATAATAAAGAAGAAAAAAGAGTAACATGTATTAGAAAAAAAAAGAAGAAAAGAAAACAAAGACGAACGATGTAACATTTCAATTAGAACACATCAAATTAATTCTCATTAACATATATCACAAAGTGTCACTTGTTTAGAGAAATATGTAAAAAACAAAACTGTTGTATTAGTGACACAATACATGTATATATACGACAAAAAAAAAAAGAAAAAAGAAAAAATTAATGACAGTCATACAACACGAGCAGACATTGAGTTATTTTAAGTAAAAAGATAAAGAATAACCAAATAAATGAACTAAAGAATAAGTATTGGTTTTTTTAATTTTAATATTTATTTTTAAACGTCTGCAATTGACAACAAGACAGAAAATCTTATAGAAATTCATTTAACCTGAAGTATTTCGTTCAGAACCCCAAAAATGTCCAACACCAAATGCAACTAATGTAAGTGCCGTCCAAAGAAAGAAATGTGCAGCAACACATAAATTATACGAATAACCCATTGATGAATATTGATCTATTAATGTGGTGGTAGTATGAAGAATATATAATTTAGGATCACGTGAATAAACTCCCCATGTTGCATAAGCTGACATAACGAACATAGATGCAAAAAACATTAAACCCAACGAAACCAATAAGATTAATGAATTTCCTGTAAATGCTGCAGCGATTGTTGCAAAAATACTGAATATAAGAAGTAAAAGACCAAAAACAGACAAGCCACCTTGAGTAACACGATTATCTCCAAAACAACCTTCGGTATCGTTAAGTACTTCATTATTTGCTGCATAACATCTTCGGAAAAGACCAACAGTATTGCCTTTTCCATCATCAAGCCATGCAGGTGTAGCTATACTAATAATAAGAAGTAACACAGCAAAAGCACCAATACCAGCTCCAGCAAACAGTGTAAGTTTATGAAATTGTGGCATTGAAATAAATATGATGAATATTGTTGTTGTTGTTGTCGTCTGAAATTTATGATAACAATTATATCAATCTAAAATAAGAATGAACGGAAGAAAAAAAAATCAGCATTGTGAATCGTAATAAAGGTAATGGTTGTATATATATGTGTGTGTGTATGTGAGATTATTCAGGGTATTTTTGTTGTTATAGTATTTCGACTGAATAATATCAGCAAAATAACACGAGCGAAAAAGAACAGGGAGAAAAATCTATTGATGGATCATGTATAAAAAGCTTCATAGCTAAAAATGTGACTAATAATGCAAGACGAAGAATCTCGGAGTTTTTTTTCTTTCTTCTTACCTACTTTTTTTTCTTTCGATGGTAACAACAGTGGAGTCTTTTTTTTTCTTTTTTTTTTGCATTTTTCTGTAAAACTACCGCTATGAATTTATGCCGGCAGTAGTCATTAATAATCATCAGTCTTACGGAGGTCTACTACAAAAGCATACGTCTACATATCCATTGCATTTCTCTTTCTCTCAACTTTACTTTTCTCTCTCTCTCTCTCTCTCTTTTATTGTTGCTCTTTACCATCGTATTAAATTGTTGGCACAGAACAAGAGTAAAAGAATAATTCTATCTATAACATAATCAACAAAAGCATGCGACATAAAAAAGAAAAAGAAAAAGACTATAATGTATACTGATGGTAGCATTGCTCTTCTATTTATGCAATAACTTATGAAAATGTTTCTCCAAAGCATTGGCATCTTCAAAGGAAGAGGAAGAAAAAAACAATATTGAACAACGCACATATTGCTATGACTCGTCATATTACTGTGATAATGGGCACCACATATTTACAGTCATCATTAGGAAAGGAAGAAGTAGAAGAAAGAAACACATATATATATATATATATATATAAAAAAGAAAGATGAAAAAAAAAAGAAAGAGTATAATACGAAAGAACAACGGCATTAGTCAAAATAATTCTAAAAAAAAAATACGCCAAAGACAATTCAATTAGAAAAACTTATGTAAAGACAAATCTATCATAAATTTGTCTCTTTTAATATTAAGAAAAATAAGTTAAATATTGCATAGTGTAAACGAATAAAATAGATCTAATGGGATATGCGACAGCTGTAGCACGTTGTCATGTCCTTGATTTTGGACGTGACATATTGTAATGTGCATTGGTTGATATAGTATTATTTCAATTTGATACATGCCCTTCAGTTGAAAGGAAAAATTACTTGCCTATAGAATTTTACAACAAAAAGAACAAATATTCTCTACAAAAAAGACTGAAAGAAGAAGATAGACCTCAAGATAGAAAAGAAATTTAACATGTGAAATGCGCATGATTTTTTTTTTTTTAATGGGAATGCTTGTTTTCAATGTTGCTTATAGAAAAGAAACCAAGTAAGAAAAAAAAAAATAATGCAAAGAAAAAAAACTCAATTATAACACGCATTATTTGATTGAGAATTATGTGCATAAAACACCAATCAAGGATTGTTCTTTAGTATGTAAGCAGAAAAGAGTAGAAAATTATCGTTTTATTATATGTGTAGAAAATCAAATAAATACTCAGAGTAATATTTTCAAATTTGACTAAATCAATAATAAACACAATCATATTTACTTTACATACAATAAAATATATCTGTCAACGGAAATGAAAAAATTTGAAAAGAACAAGTGTTTCTCCTAGTTTTTTCCTTAATATTTGCTGTAAAAAAAAATCTCCTAGGTATCCTATTTTACTTGTCTTGAGTATTTTTTTTTTTTCTTCTCTTATTCTTCCGACCAAGTACTACTTGCTGTCGTCAACCGAACATTATTTTTTAATTAAATCTAGAAAAAAAAAAAAAAAAACAAAAAGAACGAAAGAAGAAAAAAAAAATGAACAAAACATTGTCGTTGTCATTATACCAGTCCTATATACATAATATACCGGACAAACAAAGAAAATATGAATCCATTTGTCCGATCTCTTATCTAAGAGTTATAAAATGAAGTAAACATTTGAACAAAAAAAAATCATGAATTTAATTTTAACAGATTATTGTTATATCTATTAAGTCTAGACACAAAAGAATTCTTTACTTAAAATAGAACACCAACTATAAAAAAAGCAAAAAAACGTAAGTGCTCTTCTAATAGACATGTGAAAAAATCATGCAATCAAGGAAATAAAAAACGATCAGGCGAGACTTTTTTTTTTTTCGAAAGTTTAAGTGTTTGATCATTATAGTTCATTGCAAATGATGAACTTAAATAAAAGAAATAACACTTAAATAAATTAATATTTTCGATTAAGACAAAAAAAAAAAATGGTTCATTAAATTTAGCGAGAAGATCAACCAAAAAAAAACAGAAGGTTAGCAGTTACCGTGTTTTTTCTTTTATTAGAAATAATATCTAAAATTAAAAACAGAAGAAAAAGAACTGAATGATCAATATCAAAACCTGATTTTATTTAATCTCAAATAATACATAAAGCAAATAAGATAAAACATCGTGTGGTGTTTGAATAGATCAAAATTCATTATATATATATATATTTTTTTTTTCATTGAGTATTCGCTTTCTATATTATCTTAATCTATATGTCAACGAAATCGAAAGAATGTGTCATTCATTTTTCTTCGTTCAAGTAACAAACGAATACAATAAATTGAATGTCGTGAAAAAAAAAATATTATGTATTTATATATTTGAACATTATTTACATGAAAAATATCAAACAAAATACTGATAGGAATATTTTATTTGAATAAAGGATTAAATATTTGACTGAATGATTATTCTAATAGTATTGCTCCAAAAATGAAATAAAGTAAATTTTATTATAATATAATCTTCTAATTAAAATAGACTATTATTATTATTTTTATACTACAGGCAGATTTCTTATCAGTGAATTTCTTCGTAGAGAACAAGTATTTATTCTCATGATTGTTCTATTGTTATTGATCGTTTCATTTTTAATATTGATTAATTATTGTTTAGATCAGATAACAATATTTCAAAATGTTCTAACTATATATAACTTACAGTCAATAGTATGACAAACAAGCAGATCAAAATCATGAATTTGCTCATATTACATATAAACTACAATATGTGAGCAAACACTTCTTTTCCCTTTTTTTAGGTACGTCCTTATCTACAACTAAAACACTAAGAACGGTAATATCAATAGCAAACAAATCATTAATCGTACACAAAATTACATGTTGTTGATATATTTAGTATTATTTCATAATACGATGGCCTTCTCAATAATCATCTCTTGACTGTTCAGTCTTGATGAAATTTTCAGAAGAAGTGTATCTAGAACTAGGAAGTTCATAGTATAAGTTTCAGTTCGATACATTAAATCTTTGAAGAGTTAATTTAATAGTATGGGTTAAAATATAAGTATCCATGCATTCATTTCAAATGTTAGAAAATTCGAATGAGTTGTAAGGTTCCGGAAATGCAAAATTAAAGCAGATTTTTTTTTCTTTTTTTTATATATGATTAGATAGAGCTTGACGAGCTGATCAAGAATATGTGTGTTTTAAATTTTTTGGAGTGAATTTTTAGTTAAAAATTCTCAGTTTTCTCCTATAACCTATTGTCTTCAAAAAAGAAAACAAAAAGTCAATTTTCAATTATTTTTCATTTGTTTCAAATTCTAAAACTGTTTGTTTCGTATTCAGTATGAAAAACTGAATCTAAGAAAATCATTTTAAAATGATTTTCTTAGATTCAGTTTTTCATACTGAATACGAAACAAACAGTTTTAGAATTTGAAACAAATGAAAAATAATTGAAAATTGACTTTTTGTTTTCTTTTTTGAAGACAATAGGTTATAGGAGAAAACTGAGAATTTTTAACTAAAAATTCACTCCAAAAAATTTAAAACACACATATTCTTGATCAGCTCGTCAAGCTCTATCTAATCATATATAAAAAAAAGAAAAAAAAAAATCTGCTTTAATTTTGCATTTCCGGAACCTTATATTGTAGCCAAGATGTAGCGCTACAACTAAAATTTGTTACTGTTAACTTGTAGAGCTAAATTTTGACACTGAGTCCAGCTTTCTAGCGTTTAAAATGGCGAAAAAATCAATATGAAAAGTCTCTGTGTAAGAAAAACGTAAAATTAGTTCTACACTTTTTTCTTCTATAAACTGATATAAAAAGAATCTTTGACTAATTTATCATAGATCATCGATTAGAATAAATCAAATAAATGTATATAAGAATGTGAGTCTTCAATTTACCTATATTTTCATTTTATTCTATGATTTTTTTATGTTCGAGTGTTGTATTCACTTATCATACTTACCGATGCATGATAGTTATTTTTGTCACTGCCAAAAGTTAACAGACAGCCTTGAAAGACTTTAAAAATCAAAGTTTTTATCGAAAAAAAATTTTTATTTTCTTCGGTATAATTGTTTCGAAAAAAACTGGTGTAATACCCTTAAATCAATAGACTATAGTGCATTTGAGAATAGATATTTTGCTCTATTTAACAAGCTATAAATCACAAAATCAATAAATTTGACTTTTTCTGAAGGGATCTCTTAAATCACTATATTTTATTAGGTTGACTGTAGAAAGATTAAAAAGAAAATACCAAAAAATTGAAAATGATTGAAAAGTTCATTAGAAAATTCTGATTACCAAGATACATTCTTTATTGTATGAGATAAAACTAACATTCTAACAGGGATTATACACGAATCAAGACAAAACAAAAAAGACTTTTCACAAAATTTACGTATTTCAATTTTTTTTCTTTATTTGTTGGATGACTATGATCATCAATCATTTTAATAAACTGGTTATTCAAAGTTATATAAATATTTGCTACGTGTATATTTCCTAATCGTTTCAATTTGAAATTATAATCATCTAATAATAACAAAAATTTCATTTTTTATGAATTAATAAAATATAACTGAGAATGTTGGTTGACCTACATCAAATGAAGACGAAGTAGTCGCAGCAATG